GCTCATTTCTCTGCATCATCTTTTTTTTTTTTTCCTAGAGATCTGTGCTTTTCTTAAGTGTTTGAAATGAAGAGTTTCCTTGAAGTTAACCTGTAGTATAAAAGTTACTGCTCTAAACTCAGCCTGATTCTTAATGTGAATTTTCATGGTCTTAATTTCTGTCTCTTCTGGTGGTGGATTGGCATATGCTGGTGATATTGCTCATCATACTGCTTAGCGCACTGTAGGGATTCCTTTTCTTTTCTCTCTGTCTTGTTTGAAGTGGGGTTTTAGTTGTGTGCTTCCAAAGTTGATTTCACTTTCCTGTTTCTGAATTGCCTTATGTTCTGTAACATATTTTACAGGTCTGTCTAGTCACAAAACTCAGACACAGTTCAGGTAGTGTCAGTTTCCTGAAGCTTTACGTGGATTCCCCTTAGTGTGCTTTTTATTCTTTCTTTTGGATAATTAACAAGACTCGCCAAAATACCATCCTTATAGACTACGTAGTTCCTGTAATGTTTTTACTGGCTTTAATCAGAGAAGTGAAATAAACAGTTACCTCCGATGTACACTTCTGCACTCGGTTTTCTGTCTCCATGAAACGCTTAGCTGTGCATGTCAGTTAGGATCAGTTTTCAGGATTTCAGTGAGACGCTGTCAGTTGAGAAACAGATGTTTCTCAGACTGTTTTCAACCATGGTATTTGTTCTTCATCCAGTGTACACTGAACCTGGTAGAAAGGTTCCCGTTTAATTAAGTATGGTCAGCTTCTCATAATTTAGCATTGAGATGTGAAGGTTTGCCTCCCCCTTATTTGCCGGTTTAATTAGGTAATGACCCAGTAGCATTCGAGTAACGTAATCGTGCTGCGAGGTATTGCTTCAGCTAGGTGGGATACATAGCTAGACATTTAGCAGTCAGGTCCCATTAAAGAGCAGTTAAGAGAGTCTTCAAGAGCCACATAGTATAGATTTTACAGAATTTCCATCTGTTTTGATAGCAGTAAATCTAATGCTTTGAGGCATCCACATACTTCATTTTTCTGCCCAACAGCTTCGTTGTGTTGTGTTAGCACGATTTTATATTATTTATATGAATACAAAAAATATTAACTGTTTAGAAAAGAATATACTTAGGGTAGTTTTGAAGAGCAGTAATTGCAAGAAGGCCTTGAGGTTTTTCTTGCATTTAACGAATAATCTTACCAGACTGTTTTATATGCAAATGTCACTATTAATCTTATGTGAGAATAATATATACTTGATACATACCACATAAATACAATGATATATTACTGTGGAATATGTGTACTAGTCTTTTCAAAGATGATACATCATGTGATGGACAAAATCTGTTTATTTAGAGAAGAATAAAATTAAGTCTAATAACTAATAAGGGCTTTAGAAGGCAAAACAGCTCTTGTAAATGTTTGGAGCTTTAAACATGTGGATTGCTACAGTGGTTTTCTTGTTCATTAATATAAAAAAAACGTACTGAGTCTTGGGAGGAAATTTTGCCATGCTAAAATAATACCCTTAGAAGGCAAGTGCTTTATTGGGCAAGAAGGGGAAGGGAAGAACTCAAATCTATGAAAACTTCTGGTCTTTTTTTTTTTGGAAATAAGGATTTTTGAGATCTGTTTTTAAAATTGGAAGGGAAAAATTATATTTTTTCTTTTTTACTCAAGAAGAAAAACATAGAAAATTATCGAAGTTTTTTATATGACATTACTTGCATTTAAGCAGGAAAGAAAACCTGAAGGGAGCAAAAAGTCCTCATGGTTGAAAAGATAAGTATCAGTTTACAACAGCTGGAAATTGTTTATCAACTGTAGATCTACAAGCAGTGAAATCATGAGTGGAACCTACAGCCAATAAAGGTCTACAGTTAAAAAAACCCAAAAAACCAACACCACCAAAAAACCCCAAAACCAAGCTTAAGTATATGTTTTTAACAGTAGTGGAGAGTTGGTTTGGGTGCATCTGCCTCGCCTGTTCAGAAGGTGCTCCACTGTGGCATGTCCATCCCAGATGAGCATCTATGTTTTCAGTGTTTTCTGCAGCGAACACATTTAACTTGCAGCTACTGTTAGCTGTGCTGGTTCAGCTTGGGTTCTGAGAGCCAGACCGGTGCGGGAGGCGGTGTAGACCTCGAGTTTGAGAAGATCTGACGTCAGACATGTTATAGGTGACTCCGGCTTGATTTGCAGGCTCATGTGGAGCTGAAAGAGGAGAAACTACTAATGAATATATTGGGATTTTTCTTCTGAGAAGCATTTGGAGAATGGTTTTAGTCCGATGTTTCACATCTGCTAGCATCAAACATGGCCTGTCCAGTCTGAGTACAATTGTACCTCCTCTAGTCCAGCACTGAACAGCAAACGCTTAGATCTTACAAGGGTCCTGTCAGTGCAGCATATCCCGTGTGGCACATCCTGTGTTGCTCTTGAGTAGAATTTGGGGTTAGAGTTGTCCAGCTGTGAAAATGGTACACTCTGCATTGCTGATCTGGTAGAGCTGGAACACTAGCTGCTCTGCAGACCTGGGTAAAATTGCCTGGTAGCCATCTGTTTACAAAAAATAAGTGTGCTTTTGAATGTAATACAATACAGCTTTTACTGAAATTGAGTAGCTAAGCTAGTCATCTAGGATCAAGAGGAGTTTTAACTACTATGTCTTAATTTCAGGGATTTTAGGGGATAGGATGATTTTTAAACAGTCCTTCCCCCCTCCTCCCCCCTCTTGTTAATTAAGCATAATTGATATGTGTTTGAGGGCTTCATATTAACTGCTTACATTTTCCTCAGTGATTCCTCAGAGATATGCATGTACAGTAAACAATGACAGTGTGATTCTTTCCGGTTTATCATTGCTAGTTGTGGGTTACTAGCAGTTACTTTCTAGACCGGCTGTAGTTTCTTTCTAAAGGTGGGGATTAAGTTTTTAATCCTGTGACCTGTTAAACAGGCGTTATTCCTTTGGCTTCATTTCAGTCAAATGGTTTAACGTGCCATAAGCATTGGTGAAGATAAACAACTGAATTCTTCTATTACTAGGAACATTGTAAGCATAGGACAAATTATTAGAAATAGAGGAATTTTATATAATACTTTTAGCATTACCAAATTAAGTAACCTGTTTGCTTTATGCGTTGATTATTGATCAAGTTAATTCTTTACCTTACTTAACAATTTTTCTCAGGACTACAGAAGTACTTTTAATATCCTGGCCATTTACCAAGGTGGGTTGATGTTTAGGAATCTATTTAAACCCTTAATATTTTTTGCATAGAACTTGTTTCCATTTATAAGCATTTCCAAATTGATTATGACTCTACTTTTTCCATTTAAGGTGATGCATATTTAAACGAAAAAGTCTACTTCTTACCATTTGATATGAAGGATAGAAGAATTATGAATTTGTGAACATTCTGTTGTTCAAAAAAGTAGATTGGCATTTAGCTTTTATAGCTCTCAATGTATTCCCGCCTACTCAAACATAAAATTAAATATCATGGCCCTGATGAAAAGCAGCAGCTCTGCATTAGTGCTGTGAAACACAGTATCAGTAGACTGCATTTGGGATTTTTAATTACTGCATAGTTTAAATAAATAAATTCCCCAAATCCTAAGAATTTGATTTACAGAAGTTCAGTTCAGGGTGGTAGTCCGTAAGTTCAAAACTGTTTCCTGTTATCACAAATGACTGTGTTTCATGTGTAAAAAAACAACAGTGCCTTTTTTTTGGTTTTTTTTGATTAACCCTTAAATTATGTAGTAATGGATCCAGCAAGTCCTTTGGGATCCTGTTCACTGCTCGAATGAGCAAAGGTCTTTGATACCTTGAAGTAGGTGTCACATGTACTGTTTACAAGAGGGAACATTGTTAGGACCCAAGGGCCTGACAGAAAATCATTCATTGCTTGGACACTGTTAAGATGGTTTGAAACCTTTGTAAACTCAGTCAGCAACAGGAGACGGGGGAGGGGAGGGAACTGATTTGCCTGTTAAGCTGCTGCTGTAGCATTTAAGTTTAAACACACAGAGCTCGAAGCAATTTTCCTAGAAGGCCAGCGCTGTGAGTTGTGTTTTGTGCTTTGTGTAAGCCAGGTAAGTGTTGGCTAACAGATCTGTGCTGAAAGGGACGAGATGCTCACTCAGTCTTTCTGTTCTGTTGGATCTCTTAGATCACAAGCTGCTTCTGTCGTGATTAGAAAGGATGCAAACATTCCAAATTTGATCGTGCTTCTGGGATGGTTTTGCATGCACTGAGCTGTGACTCCTTGGTGAAATTTTCTCTGCTCCCAGATTCTAGTTTTGATGCATAATTTGGGTCTAAGTGCAATAATGTTCAGCTTCTGCTGCAAAATATATGAATGCAAAATAGTGTGGTCTTACCTAATAAAATAACTAGTTTGTCCTCTTGCGTTGTTAGTCTGGTGTTGCATAGGCTTGAAATGGCTTTTGGTTCCAGTAAGACTACAGGAGTGGTTTTAAACATCAGTGCACAATCCAGAAGTTATTAATTTGAAATATAACTGGAGAAGGAGAGAGTGGCTGATGTTAGTGTTTTAGTGTTATTTACTAAACATATGCTAAAAGGATAAGAGCAACTGTTTTTATACTGCCAATTTAACACTCATTCCAAGAGGATACGCTGTCTTCTCAAGGAAATATCTGTTTTGTATTAGCTAATAGAAAGATTTTTAGCTAACTTACTAGTGATAAAAGAAATCCTAATACTGCTGATAACACAGGAGTTTTATTGTTAGTAATATATGAAAGTGCTTTGACTACAAACTAAAATGTTTGGGAGATGGCTTTGGACACTAGTAATTAGTTATTTGGTGTTCCTCTGTTTTGGGAAAATTGAAGTAAAGTGATGTATTAAAGGCATGCATTCAGGGGCAGCAATACTGATTTTCTTACATGCCTAATACATGCTTGCTGTTTTTACTTTTTTTCCCCTCTGTAATACTTCTTCATGTTCACTGTTTGTAAGGCTTTGAAAACTGTTCTTCATAGTTTTAAAGCTGTTCAGAATGCTGACAACTCTACAGTCACGTTCTCCGCTATCAAACAAAGGGGGATGGAGCAGACTCCTACTGGTTGTTAATTTACAAGGAAGAAGTTGCAGTGCTTTTCAAGTACTGGTTCCTGGTGGTCTTGCTGATAATTTAAGTCTGTTAGGTTTCTGGCTCTAACCCATGTTAGGAGTCTTGTGCTAAGGATCAGAAGTAGTAACGGCTAATGAGGTGGCTGCTGCTTAAACTTCTCCATTGGTGTAAGTTTCTGAACATCTTTCCTTCAGTTTGTAGTTATGGGAGGAGGAAATAAATGTTGAAGAAATCACTGTCTAATTGTTGAAGTAGTTCTGGATGTTTTGCAATAAGATACATTTTAAATTTAAAAGGCTAGAGAAAGTGAAATCGGAATGGAGTCTATAGAGATACTAGTTATTCTGTGTCTACAGTGTGCTGTTTCTGTTTCATAGAAACAGGATAGTTTCTGTTCCAAACAGTTTGTTTCAGGGTGGAAAAAGGGATTTTGGCCAAAGATCTTTATGCTTTCATGCAGAACTGGCAAGAGAAGTTGTGCTCTCAATGAAAAATTTTCACAGAATTTATCTAGTTTACAAGCTTCTGAAAATCATTGTTTTCACATAGCAGATTTTTTAGAGGTTTTTGGCCAAAATATGAGCAGACTGCATTTTTACTAATAGAAATGTGTGACTTGAGCACCATACTGTCGTTCAGCAACTTCTGATAGCAAGGAGCATTGTGGTTCTGGGCACTGGATCAGAAAGAAGTGAAACCATGCATTCATTCCTCTCTTTGGCACTATATCTGCGTAGAGGAAGAAACATTCTGATCTGCAACGTGTGGAGAAGATGTTAAGAAAATATTAGGGAGATGTGTGTGAAGAGAAGAACTGGGGGTGGGGAATACAAGATCAAGACAAGACACAAAAGCTGACAGGAGAAATACGTGTCACACTGCAGGGGCAGAGCAAGAGCTGAACGAGAGGCAGGAGAGGAAACAACGTGGAAGGAAAGGTGTAGCTAGAGCAGTCTAATCACAGAATAAGCCCGAGTTCAAAATAAGATGGTCCTTAAAATCTTGTGATATTCAGTTTATACCTCTAGAACCCATAGTGTAAAATAGTCATAGCCTTTCTTAATATTATGCTTCTTGAATCCAAAAGGAACCTGATCCTAGAACACTAGGCAGCAGGGCATGAAATAAGGATGAACTGTGGTTGCACAGATACAAATGCTTAACACAGCAACGTGCGTTTATGAAGCATTTTAATCTGCCATTTCACAAAAGAGGATCAAAATTTGGAATAGGAAGCCCAGGGAGGTGTCAGCCTTGGAGATAGGCAGACCTTGAGTGAGCAACAGAAAAGCTCTGAACTTGGCTTTGCGTAAGGATCAGATGTCTTCAGAGACCCCTTCCAGCTTGGCTTACTATCTCAGCACTTATTTGAAGAAAGAACATTTAGCTACTCTTTCTTCACTGTTAGTAGTTGTCTTCATTTAAAAATGAAAATGCGTATGAGTCATGTCCGCGTGCTGTACGTGCGTCAGGCCTTTAATGACTTCGCTCCAAATCAAAGGGAAGACTTGGGATCCTATTTATTGGTCAAAATGTGCACAGCTGTTGCACTTAATTACTTATGCACCAAGTTTAGAAGAGTGCAGAGCCGGTTGAGACCAGAGTTTCATCTAGGCTCTCTCTCCAGCGGTGCCAGAAGCAGATGGATTCAATGGGAAGACTTTAAGAACGGGGAAAATTTACATAGTACTTGTTAATATTTTCACAAACTCCAACCATTTCATGAATTTACTGGCCTTCCAAGAAATTCTCACTCAGAAGTTTATCAGGTTTCCTTTTCAATGCATGTTAAATTTTAGCATCCACAATTGGAATTAACAAGCAGCTCAGATGTTCAATCACAGTGTGCTTTGTCTGCATCACTTTGGAACGTATTAGCTAATTGGACGTATTATCTGACAGGTGCTAATGTAACACTTAAATTCCATGAAACAAGGTGAAATAACAATGGAAAAAGTGGTTTATCCAAGTCCATCACCAGCAAGAGCCACATTGGACAAATACCTGAGTATCCAACAGCCTTGAGAAAAGAAAAAAGAATCCTAATCAGAGATTGAAAAGTGAGGGGAAAAAACCCAAACTACTCTTGCAGATAGTAGGAAAACCAGTGTGTTCATTGTTGAAATTATTTCCTGCAATTATGGAACATGTTTTCTAAGTAATAATTAAACTGAGAACATCCAGTAAAAACCAAGGACTTGAGGACCAGAATTTATTTTTAACAGCGGATCTGTGATTACGCTTACTGCCAATGTGCATTGCTTCTTGAAATATGCTGTAATCTTCTGTAAGAGATGTTGCTTAAACTATCCATAGTGTTTTGGAAATTTAAGATTTTAATTTTCTGTGTGGACTGTTAGTTTGGATGTAGTAAACATGTGACAGTTCTTTTATCTGGGCACTTGCAAAGTGAAACAAATGAGATACAAGTGTTTTAACCATTGCCTTCTCATCACTGGTTTTCAGGTGGCCAATATATTTGATGCTACTTTGGTGTAAAATAACTTGTGTTTTTTGTATAAAGACTGAAGTCTTGTGTTCCATTTGTTCTGTAAAATGGCAGAAGAGGCTTGGTATGCTGGAATGTTACATAGATTTGATAATTGGATACTATATAAAATACATTTATAATTACATATATTAGTTTGTCATCACACTGCAAATATGCCACTGAAAACACGTTTAAAGAGAAGTATTTGGCACATTTCAAATATGAAAAATAAATATTTTGACACCCTTTAGTTAAAAAATATCAGATGAATTGGTATCGTGATTTACAGAGTAATTTTCAAATCTGAACAATAAAATAATTGATGCTTTTTTTTTCAGCCCAGTGTTGGGTCTCAACATATGCTGAGAGATTCTAGGATTTCTTGCAGATAAAACTACTGGATTTTGAATACAGATTTTGTTTTTCACTTTTTTAAAAGGGCAAAAAGGATTCATGCAATGCCCTCATTTTTATTGTTGCATGATTTATTTAAACATACAAGTTTTGCATGTTAGACAGCTTTGAATGATTTTTAGATTGTTGTCCATAGCTATTTTGAGTAAAAAACGTGAGGAAATTTTGCAATGATAAATTATTTATCAGTCATCTGCAGATTGAATTTATGCTAACTTTGTACTATTTTCAGTTAGTTTAAATTTTGGGTTTTGCATCTCTTTCTCATTTATAGATTTAAAATGTGTGACACAGAGGAGTTTGCAATAGTAATGTAACTGCTTGCCTGTGAAGAAGCTTAGTAACAGTAGTAGAAAATACTTGTTCAAGGAACGTGTAGACATGGTGCTCGATGACATGGTCTAGTGGGATGGTAGTGTTGGGTTTTTGGTTGTACTGAATCATCCTCTAGGTCTTTTCCAACTTTACTGATTCTGTGAAAATACTTTAATACTGTAGCCTTTTGTTTTGAGACATTTTTTCATTTTTCAGACAGTAGTGTTTCCTGAGTTTTATATTGAGAAGAATACGGGAATTGGTAGTGGATGTATCGTTGTTTTTCCTCTTGAAGTTAAGTAGACTAGTATGTGGCATTCACTTGGATGTTGTGGTTTTTCCTAACAGGAAGCTAATCATCACACTGGGCAAGAAGCAGAAGAGAAAAAATGAGTCTTCAGATGAGTTGTCTGATGCTAAGCAGACTCCACAGCGGCCACTGAAAGATGAAGACTCACAGGTAAGTAGCCAGACTTTTTTCCTTTTGAATTTGTTATTTCCACAGGTCTTTTTTCCTCTCTCTTCAAAAAGTTATATTCTTTTCGACACAGTGACAGTTATACTCTCACTGCTGTCTTCTCTTTCATAGGTAGAGCTTTACACTACCAGCTACTTTTGTCAGTTGAAAATGCTACAGGTTTGAGTCCCCTTTCTGTAATGGGACAGCAGTGCCCTGTGGTATCTGTTCCATTTCACTACAGAAATCCATAGATTTGAGACTCAGCACTCTTCTGTTGAGCTGACAGTTATACCCCATTCTTACTTTGGCTGACTTCCTGGGGAAAATGCAGAGATTGCCTAATAGAAGGGACATATATCAGTGAAGCTGGATCTTGGAGAATATTTTAAAGGCTTGTTTCAAACTTCACTGTCTCTTCTGAGCTCTGCTTCTGGAGAGACTGAAAGAATTGGTTTGTTGCAATGTTGGATCTGGAAGGAGTAATGATCAATATGCAATAGGCTCTAGTTGCCTGTGGAATACTTCTGAAGGAAGTGGAAGTATGAACTGTTTGTAAGAGATGATTTCCTACTTATGTGCATGTTAGCAAAGTATCACTTTCTTGCTTTAGGGCAGACTCCAGTAAAAATGAGTTGTCATACTGGAAATGCACAGGCTTTTTTTCTTGTGGCCATTCCATTCACAGAGATGAAATCAATAGTCAAGGTGTTGAGTAAAAATTAATTGCATTATTTGATGATAGTGTCAGAAAACAATTATGAGATACTGAGTTGACCTTTAGTATTTGACAGATGATGATGCTGGGCAGGAAAAGGATCAGAAGCCATTTCCCAGAATGACTGTTTACTAACTGAAGTGATAGCTTGTCTTAGGTAAAGATTACCTGGAATGGAACATGAAATTATTTATTTTTCAGGGAATTTATCCCGGTATAGGAAGTCCACTTAGTAGGTTCGGTGGTTCTGAAGTACTGTAATTTATCAATGGCATTCTGTAGAGTGATATAAATTTGTAGGCCAAGAAATATAATACAGAAGACTCTTGGGTGTGTCCCCCCGCTTTGCTTTTGGTTTTTTTGATACTTGATTTTTAGCACAGCAAGGGTCATCTTCAATTCTAGTGTGGATAAACCGGGGGTATCATCAAATTGCATGGTCCTGGTGTGACCAGAGGGTAGAGAAAATAAGGAGTGTCATGGGATAGAAAAAAGATCATACTGCAGAATATCACAGCATTGAAGTCTGTCTTTGAAGTAGTTTGGGAGAAGCATAACAGGAAAGACATAAGTTGCTTTACTTCATGAATTCATCCTCTCTTCAATTTTTGAATATTTTAATGATTTTAGGTCCTTTTTTCCCCCTCATTATTTTTGTATGCGTAGTTTCTTGGCAAGTGTCTCCTTTATGTTGATTTATTTTGTGGAAAAACGTGTGGTATTACTTCTTTGTGCCTTAGACCGTTTCTTTGACTTTGCTTCTCAGCTCAGGGAAAGACTTTTTCAAACAGCTCGGGTTCCGTTTAATATGTTGGAGAACATAGGTCTGTTGATGTTTTGTTAATCACTTCATACTTAAAGAGAAGACACAGTCAGAGGGATTGAAAATGCCAGTTAATGCCTCATTAGGTTTTGAAAAATTCAACAAATACTTAAAAACTTCGTCCTGGTTCTCAATCCTTCTTTTTCTGATTCATGCATCTTCCTGCACTGGTCCTATTAGCTGGCATTAAAAAAAAAAAAAAAGTCTACCTCTGTCAGCCAACTGTTACTGATTTAACTATAATGTAGGTTTTGTTCTGTGTGAACACCCCACCTCACACACACTCACTTTTTGTTGAAGAATAGCTCGTTGGGTTACATTGTTGCGGAAAGCTGATTGAGTAGTTCCATGTGCACTGTCCCAGCTTCTCCGGCAGAAGGGTGATGCCCATTCTTGATTTGTGCTGTGTATGCAGTGTCGCTGCTCTGCCTTACTGAAGTACTCACGGTGTGGCTGTTACAGTACAGCTGGAGCTTTCGCCAGGTAACAGCCAGCCCAAGGGCTCAAATTAACAGGCAGGAAGGGAGTTCTTGTGCTGCTGCGATCTTACTGTTACGTAGTGTCTGCTCTGCAGAAGCTCCTGTGACCACTGGATTTTGGTGGTTGTTCTATTCACAGCTTGTTCTTCTCCCAACTAATTACTGCAGTATGTCCCAACCACCACTTTTTCATGAATAAAAATACACTGTTGTGTAGCTCAATGTAATTAATTTACATTATAGAGACTGTTTTCCTTCTCCAGTTTTATTTTTGTGATAATCAGTTCTCTAAAACAGATTGCAGTTTTTTTCAAATGTTAGCTGACTAGTTTGATTCCGATACCATTATCTATCCAATGGATCTACAAATTAATCTTACGGTTAAATATGCAGTCTTTCTCAAATTGGTGCTGAGGGGTGTAAAGGAGAGGCAATATCTTAATAATCTAAGTATTTGAAACTTAGATTGAGAAGGAATTATTTTCTTAGTTTGAACACTATTTCTCCTACTTGAACTTGTCCTTGGGTTCTTGCAGAAATAAGAGCAAGGGATTGGAGAGAGAAACTGCAAAGTCAGCCAAATGCTTAAATAAAGCTAAACAAGCTTGATTAAGGTGGAGGAAAAACCAGATATATTAACAAGGCAACAAATTCTCCTAACCATCAAATCAGACTTCAGCAATCTGACCAATATGATCTAATGAAAATCATATTTTTTTTTTTGTATAGCACGGTTTAGTGGAGACACTTCAGCATATTCTGTATCTTTCACTCAGATTCTTGAACTGGACAGTAACACACTGCTGGTACACTGTGTTATGAAAATGCTGTTCAAATACTGATGCTTATGAGAGGTCTGTTATGTATCAGCTTTGTACCCATATCCTGAAAACACTGTTACATGTTTGCTTTTGAACTTCAAAAAGTAGTGTTTATATGAGACAGGACAAAACAAATGTAATTGACTGAAAAATGGTATATGGCTGATTCTGTCCCTCTGTGATTCACATGCTTCATGTTTTCTGTCAAATGTTGGCCTGTGCTTTTCAATACAGCTGAGGTACTGCTTAGATTGTCCCAAAACTTGTAATTCATTTAGAGTTTTTGGTAAAACCAGGTATTTTTCTTCTGTGTGTAGAAGAGAAGATCAAATCGTCAAGTTAAAAGGAAAAAATATGCTGAAGAAGGAGAAGGAAAACAGTCTGAAGAGGAAGCTAAAGTTTCTGTGAAAATCAAAAAGATCTGAACAGCCTTTACAGTTATTTGTGGTAAGTAAAAGCTTGCTTGGTCTGTAGTGGGAACTACCCGTTTGCCTCAAGCAGGTGAGTGAATAAAGGTTGTAACTTGGAAGGAATACGTTGTTATTACTAACCTGTAGTTTGTTTAAATTAACATCTTGCTAAGATCTTGAAAACTGGAAGAAATAGCTTACTATTATTTTTTCTTTTCTGTTACAAACATTCATGACTTAAATGACGTTAAGGCTAAAAGATTAAGGATGATGTCAAATAACGTGTCATGCTGCGCAGAAGCTGTATGCTCATACTGTCATGACTTCCAGAAGTACAAAATTATTGAGCCTTTGGGGTTCTCTGCTTGCTGAGATTTTTTTTTTACAAGGATACTCGTCCCTTTCCTCACCCCTCTCAGGTTTACACTTCAGTGTTTTAACTTGTGCCAGCTCTAGTACTCCGACTTACTGTTGAGCCATTCTAGGTAAATAAAGTGTCAGGAAAGAAACAGGAAAAAAGTTTGTGAGATGTTTGGAGGAGTGCCAAAGTTGTAAGGCAAGGAGAAAGGTAGTATGACTTGGAACGAATCAGACAAGAGGGAAGGTGACTTTTTATTGGAAGCAACCTTTAAAGATTGGCTCTATCTCTGGAACAACAGCTTGGCAGAGCCAAGTAATCCCGTCACACCTAATCTGTGTCACACCTAAACCCTGTTGGAATTCCCAGGCATGACCTTGTCTGCCTGATTCAACAGCATGTTTGTTATCTATGTTCAGAGTAAATTTATTAAATTGAGTTTGACACATGCTGGCTTTTGGTTTTATGATTTTTTTTTTTTTTAATCTGTCTGCCAGAGTTCTTATTTTTCCATATATGTGTAATGAAAATGGGGTATGTCCACTGCATCATGTCAACTTCACAGGGCATTCACAGTAAGTCTGTCTGGAAAGCATCAGAATCACCACTGCTTGCACTCTAAGTGTGCTTGGCAGGTGAGCATTGCATCTGGTGCTGTTGGAAGTGCCAGACCTACTGTCGTTTTGCATGTGTTTCTCTCTGGATATAGACCTGGATTGGAAGTTTTGCTCCCCGACCATTAGAGACTGCTGCTGGTACAGGTCCAATTTGCCTTTGTTGTTTATCTTTTAACAAACCACTTGTGTTTGAAAGTTTTAAGCCTGATCAGTTTGAAGAAAGGGCATTTACTGCAATTTATAGTGTCACTTTTTCCCTGCTTTTATAGGAAAATCCAAGTGAAGAAGATGCAGCAATTGTAGATAAAATCTTGTCCTCCAGGGTAATAAAGAAAGAAGTAAGTGATTTTCATGGGATAAAGTTGCTTATTTGAAAAAGGGATTTGTATCTGGCATTTTACGTTTCCCTTGAATTTCCTTTCCTAGATATCTCCTGGGATGACAGTAGAAACAGAAGAGTTTTTTGTAAAATACAAGAACTAGTAAGTATTTAAGTTGTTTCATTGGAGGTGTTGACTGAAATTGTAAGTACTGGGTTTATGTACTCAAGTTTTGTATTGTTTGAAGATTACTTATAACCAGATTTTGTCATACCTTGAGATTTTTTGGTCACAAACTTAAAATTGCTAATGGTCTGCATTATATTTTTGTTAATAATTTTGAAATTATTAATATTGTGACACCGGCTATGAGCCATTATTGCCAGAAGAGCAGCATTTTTCGAGAAGATGTATTGATTCAGTTGCACAGGGGCTACATGCCTGAGGCTAATCTTAATTTTATGAATTTATCGGAACTGTTTGGTGAACCTAGATTAGATGGTGTCTATTTAGGACATTTAGGAGAGGTTGATGTAGTTTTTTACTGTTTTAAAAGGAGAACAGCTTTTAGCCATAGACATGATTTTACATCAAAAGCAGGAAAAGAACGAGGAAGAAAAAGAACGTCTTCCAGATTTTCACATTTTAAATTTTATACTTATCTTTCTGTCACTACTCAGTTCTTTATGTTGAAAATTCAAGCACATTTTAAATTTTACTTATGTGAGTAATTTCATTAGATTCTTGCTAAATAAAGTTTTTTTGGTTTTTTTTTTTTTTTTTTTTAAACTCTGGATTCCCATGTTTCTAGATACCATTTAGCTCTTGTCTTCTGAAAGGGCAAAGTCTGTCTTTTCATCTGAGAATGATTAATACCCAGCAATAACTCCCTGTGTTTCTAGCATTTTGTTAGAAAGCCTCAGAAAGTGATCAAACTATATTACAAAGGGGGTGTGAGGAAGAAATACGTACTTTTGTCAAACCAGTTTGACTTGAGAAAGGGTCACTTGGGGTGCAGTTACTGGAGCTCGTGCTTCTCCTCCCATTGACTACTGATTTTGTGCTTCCCTCAACCCAAGCTGATGGTGTGTTCCTTTTTTGCAATGGGCTCTGTTGCTCCTTGCTGATCTTTTAATGGGCTCGGCGATGCAGTTCAGTGGTACCTGGGTGGGGTATATATTAAATATATTAAATACTTTGTATCTCTGGGCACTTTCTGGTAGAGGGGTCAGGTGTTAAACTTGATTTATTTAAGCTCACTTTAAATATGCTTGTTTCTCTTAGAACACCTGAAAATTTGTGAATCATAGAGTTCTATGGATCCTAGCCCAAAATCACTTAACTAGATGCTGTAAGATGATTATTTGGAGGAATAGATGTTTGAACTTGACAGTGATTTCTGTGTTAAATGATCAAATGCTCTTTTTTGAGTGATATTCTTGTTTATAAAATATATTACTTTAGCTGTATATTAAAAATAGATAGTAAGCTCTTGCTTTCACTAATATCTTCATGTTAATCTCTAATTTTAGCTCTTATCTCCACTGTGAGTGGGCCACAGAACAACAGCTATTAAAGGATAAAAGAATCCAGCAGAAAATAAAACGATTCAAACTAAGGCAAGCACAAAGAGCTCACTTCTTTGCAGATGTGAGTATGAAATGTACAACTAAATAAGCTTTCACCTTGTAAAATTGTGATTAATACTTTGCTTGTAAATAAAACAGCTGAATGTTGAAATAAGTTAGCCATCGTTTGGGGTTTTGGTTGCAGCAGGGGGCTGTTTGTGTAATGTAATTGAAGAGCAAGTCTTCTGGAGTCACTGAACTAACCTGACTTGTGTGGTTTAAAACTGGGATTCTTTGGGTAACTACTTTACAGTGGTAAGGAAGAGTATGTCTATTTTCTGTACCATATGACTTTCCCAAGACAGCATTTCATCCCTAAATTCTCTACATTTTCTATTCTAATGTCAGATCCCTCTGTAGAGGAGGACCTGACACCCAGAGGAGGGGGGGAATTAAAGGTGTGTGCAAAAACCTCAGTCGTTTCCAACTGCCAAATTAATTTTGTGTACAATGAGACTTAATCGTAATATATACCAGGTTTTTTTTCCTCTCTACTGATTTTATTAATCTTGCATTGCAGATGGAAGAAGAACCTTTTAATCCTGACTATGTTGAAGTAGACCGGGTATTAGAAGTATCGCTTTGTGAAGATAAGGACACTGGTGAGGTAAGTATATCTTAAAGCAAGCCAAGATGATAATGCCTCCAAGTAGGCCGATCCCATGTACTTCCCTGTCTTGCTGATAGTGACAAGGGGTTGCTGCTGAAAGAAGCACGAGGGCAGGGCAGTGATTGTGAGGTGTTTGGATAGCCACTGGTGTACCTTTCCTTCTGTATTTATCAAAACTATTTTTTAACTTAAGGTATTTTCTTCTGGAAAGCTATTACAGAACAAAAAGATGAGATGAGAACAAAGCCTGGCAAGGGTGTTAAATAAGGCTGTTGGAATAGCTGTGATACTTACCCTGTTCTAGGTAGCAGAATGAGCAGACTCTTACCCAATGATTTCCGCATTAATCTTCATAAAGCAAGTTTGAGGGTTAAAATTACTTTTCGTTGTATGCATCAGAGTTGTCATTATTACAGTTTTAGAAAAAATGTGTCATCATAAGACTTTCCCCAACTTCCTGAAAGGTTACTTCTTTTATCTAAATAAAGCTAAGCAAAATAATCTGCCTTGATTCCATCTTTTGAGGTGTTTTCTAAATTTTTATGTGTCGCTCAGCAGATCTGTGAAGCTTTCTGTTTTGTTGAAGTCCTCAGCTTTAGGAACTTTCTGAAGGTCTTTGTTTTAGCCTTAGGCAGCCTGATTTGGAGAGTGGAGGAAGTGTTTTGGGTAGCCCCTCTGTAGCTATACTGGTTACCCCCACCCCGTTTCCACAAACATCACCAATGTAGTAATTTATCTTTCCTAAGGCTTACTTGTGGGTCAGAGGGATTGACAAGTACTCCAGGGGTCTGCAAGTGGCAGAGTAGCCAATGGGCAGGAAGGTAGATCACAAGAAACTATACACAGATCATCTTTAAGAAAAGTATTAGAAATGTCGCTTTGTTTCCAGCTCTTGTGTAAGTTATCTACTCAGATAGTAAGGCATATTAACAGACTGTATACTGAATTAAAAGCTGATAACATCCAGATTTTCTCCTGCAGCCTGTTATTTACTATTTAGTAAAATGGTGTTCGTTGCCATATGAAGACAGTACGTGGGAGCTGAAAGAAGATGTAGATCAAGCAAAAATAGAAGAATTTGAACAATTGCAAGCTTCCAGGCCTGACTCAAGGAGATTGGTAAAATTACATCTAATTTACTTGTCTGTCTTGGCAAATTGGATTTGATTTTCCCAACTTTAAACTTCTGTGTTAAAACATAAGTCTTATTGACAGGCTGTGTAAAGGATCTGTGAGCCTTGTTACCTAAGAATATTATTTTTTTCAGGTAGATGTAGATTAAAAAATTCATCTAATTTGTTACTTGGTTAAAAAAAAAGATCTTGGTTTAGGAGAAAATACCAAATTCTGTAACTTTCTGAGCATTTAACTGAGTGATGTGCAACACCTTTCAACTGGCCATCACAGAACGTAACCACCACTAGCATGAGGAGAAAACAGAATAAAGTATAAACATGCTTTTCTAGAGAACAGAGTTAAGTCTTGTGCTTCAGCACTGAAGGGAACCGGCCAACAGGTTCCCTAATTGCTTCCTGCTTTTACTTTTCTTCTTGTCATGAAGGACAAGCTGAAAGGAGGAAAAGTATATGTAATAAGGAAACATTTTTTATCTTTAAATTATCCATCTTCTGTCTCTCAGAGCAGGAGAAAACAAAATGGTTCTATTTGAAGTCCTGTGTGTCAGTGCCAGAGTAAGAAGTGTCCTGCGTGGTGTAGTACAACATTCGTTTTAACTTACTTATTTTACATAATTGAATACGCACAGTGTTCTAATTTGTAGGCTTTGGATTTTTTTTTAATGGTTTTAGCATCTACAGATAATGACACTAGTCACGATTAGTGTCTTCATATTATATTTAGTTCATGTTTCTAGCATTTATTTAAAATCCTGCCCTTTTGGCATGTGGGAAGAAGGGCTTTTATAGCTCTCTGTTACCATATTCGGCTTTGAGAGAAGATGATGATTAAGGCACAACTGTGCGACTGACACTCCTCTTACCATCAGCAACAAGTATTTTTTTGGTCAGGCTCCAGCAAGTACAAGAAGTTATTTGCTGACAGCAGCCATTGAGCAGGAGCGTGGCTGCTCCTGCTGCGGGGGAGTGGGCAGATGCTTGTGGGTGAGGAAGCCCCACTGCTGGGGAGGGACGGCTGCTGCGCCACTCAGGCCTGGTGTCAGGTGATGCTGACGTTGGCAGTGCAGAGAAAAAATTCCCATCTGAAGCTTGGAGCTGCCAGATAAGGCCGCGTGAGTCTAGAGTGAGCGCAGGGTTTTGTAAATACTGAGAGCTGTAGGGGAAGCAGGGTTGATCAGGTTGATCAGGGAACAGCTGATCAGAAAAGCTCTGATTAAAAGTATTTTGCTTGAATGTGTGAGTGTGTTGGGATACAGTAGCTATCCAAAGAGTGTGTTTTCTGGTGGAATCCTCCCTAGTATTAGGCAAAAACCTTGTGTTTTCTCTACTAAGTTGCATGCTAAGCCAACAGTCAGCCTGTGGAGTCTGCAGGTGTGGGAACTAGCGTGTGTGTGTGTGTATTTTCTAGGTAGCCTGTCAGCTTTCGTTTAGCTTGCTAGGGACGTTAAGACTGTACACCTTGATACTGTTACAGTCTGTTCTGTCATGCCCTTTGTATCATCAGCTGACGTATGCTGATACTGTCTTTCATCTGATCCCTTAGTGAAATCGATTCGGGGAACTAAACCACTTACAAGTCTAGTTTCTTGTATTCCTGTTGTTGGCTTCCTGAACTGGCTAACTGTGGGATCGAGTGATCAGCAGTGACCGGGGCAAGTGCCAAAAGGCAAGGGCAGGGGTCACAGTAACTCAGTGCAGATTGCCCAGCTCACTTCAAGAGGGGCTGGCATTAGCATCCAGCGTTACTTACACTTTGGGAATTTTGGTAGTACCAAATACTTGGTTGGCTCTGGTTGTAGGGCATCTGTTCTTAGAGCTTCTGAAGTGAAGCTTCCCATATAAGTGAATGACTGTTTCAAATTACCAGTTCCAAGCTATTTGTATGCTTATTTTTAGAAATCAGTTGCTTGATATGATGATTTAGTCTCAAAATAATTTTAAAAGTATTAATCTGTATAAGCAAACACTAATTTCAGGTTTCTGCAGACTAGTAATTAGTAAGTAATGTTAACAATGACACCTTCCCAGTTTTAAGGTTGAACAGTTGCATTCTAAATCTGAATTGTTACACTCAGGAAATAATGGGTGAAGATGTTTTTGAAAAATCAGGTGTGTACCAGCTTGCACATGTATTAATCTTTCCCTTACAGGACAGACCACCTCCAAACTCTTGGAAGAAGATAGAACAGTCCAGGGAATACAAAAATGGCAATCAGCTCAGGGAATATCAACTGGAAGGACTTAACTGGCTCCTGTTCAACTGGTACAATAGGTATATGCATGGAATGTTTTCTAATGTAGCTTTTAAACTGTATGGAGTGACTCACTGTTACTGGGGATGAATACTGTTTTAACTAAATTTACCTTAACTTCTCTACTTATAGCTGAAAGGGTAGAACTGGAAAAAATTCTCTTCCTTTGGGTGTGCAAGTATGTTTTTATCAACAAGAATAACAAGAAACAAATCTTCAAAGAATAAAACTAACCTAACTGAAAATAAATATTCAGTAGCTGTGAGAAAATGAAAAGTAACTTCCACCAGAGTACAAGCTCAGAATTTTTGGAACAACCGGGAAACACTTGCATCCTTTTTAGAATTAGTGTATACTTCAGCTAATGTTACCTCTCTTTAAAAATAAGGCTAGTAAATAACTGTTTTCTGTATTGTAAGCTAATTGTTCATTAATGCTGTGATGTATTAACAGGAATATAATAACTTTCAAGATTCTTCCCAGAACAGTGTATTTTCTCTGTATCTCAGTTGGATTTCTACTCATGAATCTTCCTGCTTGCTTTATTTCCAAACTCTCAGTTGCCTGTCCTTTATAGATGATATCAGTGAGCTTGCCATTTTACCGTCTGCAGAAGAAAATTTTCTGTTCTCTCAGTCAAGCACTACTTGGCTGTGTGAGCATCTGTCAAACAGGGTGAGGGCTGGAGCGTGTGGCTGAGGGTGAATACCTCGTGGTCCTTCATGTTGGAATTGGGTTATATGCATCTGTCTCAGCTTTGGAAAGGAGGGGAATTTGTCAGTGATGCTATAATGCACTCCTTTTATGTGACTGTAGCTGGGGTACTTTCTCACTGTGGCTCTTTGGGAATCTTTATTAGTTTCTAGGAGTTTAGTCAAGGTGAATGTACCAGTAGGAAATCTGATTAATTGGAATTCCTTTAATTAGGGCAGAGGTGGTCACAACAGAATACTCTGGGAATATTTGTCTTGGAAAATATCACGGAACATTGCATCTCAGGTTTTGCCAGTGCTAAACATGACCGAAAGCTTGTGGTCTTGTGTACCATGTTCATTCTTTCACCATAACCTGGAAACTTTTGCAAGGATCTTCTACAGTGCCTCAATTTTGACTATGGTTTCAAACTGGTATTTTGAGCTTTGTTTTTATAAATTGTCCATTTGAATAACAGCTTTAGCATCGGTGCTTTCTTTGATGCTAATAACAAATATATTTTATTTTTAGGCGAAATTGCATTTTAGCGGATGAAATGGGTCTTGGCAAAACCATTCAGTCCATTACATTCCTCTATGAAATCCTTCTGGCCGGTATAAGAGGGCCTTTCCTGATCATCGCTCCCCTTTCCACTATAACAAACTGGGAAAGAGAATTTCGCACGTGGACTGACCTCAATGTTGTAGTGTATCACGGAAGTATGATCAGCAGGCAGATGATTCAGCAGTATGAAATGTACTTCAGGGACTCCCAGGTATTATGTCCCTTGGGTGCAATAACTTACTGAAAACCTGTTTCAGGTCGTAGTAATGAAAGTATACTTTACGTTATCTGTACTTATGTCTTAGTGAGAGTTATTCTATGTCCCATGACGTGTTATTAAGCTTTTTAGATATCAGATTTTTAACACAGGCTTACTGCGTAAATTTTGTGAAAGGGTTGCCGCAGGATGTATGTAGTTTCAGCATGCTGAGCAGTCTTACAGTTGAATAGCAGTGATGCTGGTACTCATGGAGATTGAAGTGTACGCAGATGGTTGCAGTTGGGTCTTGAATTTAAAGAGCAATGAAAACAAAAATACAGCCGATTAAGCTTTCTGTTACCTTCAGGTAGCTGTCGGTTTCCTTTTTCTCGTGTAAGCTAGCTTTGTGTACAGTTTGCTCTTCTCTCTGAAATACTTAATATTAAATAACATGAAAAAAACACCAACTTGAAATCTGACCATTTTAATTTGGTTTTCCTTTTCTATATGTTCTGCATAAATTTTTTTAAACTATCGTTGTATATGTACAAAATTGAAAAGGCTGAATTTTTTTTTTTAAGTAGTGCTAAATATTCAAATGACATCTTGTTTCTCTTGTGAGTTCTTGTATACTGTCTTACTGAAGGTGTTACGTATTCTCATTGTCCCACCAAGGGAGTAGAGTAAGCTAGATAAAAAGTGTTCATGTAGTTCTTGGGTGATACTTGTATTAATTACTCTGAGTGCTAAATGGGTTACTGTCACCTATTTTGATTGATTGACTGTAGGGCTTTTCCTGTCAGTTGTCTTTCAGATTTTCCCAGGGTTAAAAATGGTGTTATCTACATGGACCATTGGAAACAGTTTTATTAGATAGCTGTATCTGTAATTTAAGTGGTTAAAATTTTACTGTTGGTTAGACAATATTGGATTTGTGGCTACGGATAATTACTCCTTGGTATTAATTACAGACATGTAATAAATGTGTATGGGATGATAAAACAATTGATAATGTGAAATACGATGTCTGGCTCTTGATAAAATTTCAGCAACAAAATCTTTAAATTGATTAGATTCGAGATAATGTTACAAATTTTGTGTTGATGACTCTCTAGGGACGCATCGTTCGAGGTACCTACAGATTCCAAGCCATTATCACAACTTTTGAAATGATTCTTGGTGGGTGTCCAGAGTTAAACGCGATTGAATGGCGGTGCGTTATTATTGATGAAGCTCACAGACTGAAGAACAAAAATTGCAAGCTCTTGGAGGGTCTAAAATTAATGAACCTTGTGAGTAATGATATTTCACTTTCTGGGTTTGATTCTAGTTAAGGACAGTGCAATAATAAATCAGAAGTTTGTTTTACCAACCAAAAAAGCCCTCTCAAGCAGTCTTTCTCATTAGGGATCTATTCCTGATACTCTCCTCAAATGGCTTTATTTTTATAGCTGATGCTGGTATGTTTTGGATTAAACAAAATATGTCAAGTTGTAACTGCAAGCAGAATCTATTTCTGATGATACTGTTCTATAGCTTGTTTTGATTGATGATGATTTCATTGAAAATTGGCTAATAATAAAAAAATGGGGTTTGTGCAAGTTTTTGTGCAGTAATTAATGTTTAAAAACCCAGAAACTATTGCGAACAAGTTATTTAACATAAAAGCAAGCAAGTAGTAGAATTTAAAAGAGAATTTACTGTCTAGTCCCATACTTAAGGTTTTATGGTGCATTATTACAAGATGCACCATCACTAGTTTGGCATTGCTTTTTTAACAATTCTTTGACACACTTGTTGGTACATGTTCTCAGGAGTTGTCTTATTTGCTTTCTGATACTGGTTAGTATGTATTTTTCACACTGTGGAGGGAGGGGATCATATAGGTGTGAATATTACAGGCAGAAGTTGGTGTTCAGTCATTTCTTCATTACAGATGTAGGAAGATAGAATTTAAGGAGAAGCTAGTAGAAAATACTTAAGCGTTGCTCTCCCATAATCTGTTGATCTGTATTACTTGTGCATTTAGTGACAGGCGGAACTGGTAATTTCAGGTTATGCTGCTCAGACTTCGCACCAGCTTTTGCAAGTGTGTGCATATAAGGTCACGTGAGCTCTGGTTCTTTCCGTAGGAGCACAAAGTGCTGTTAACGGGTACCCCACTGCAGAACACAGTAGAAGAATTATTTAGCCTCCTTCATTTTCTTGAGCCATTGCGTTTTTATGCTGAATCTACGTTCATGCAAGAATTCGGAGACCTTAAAACAGAGGAACAGGTATTCCATGTTGAATGAGTTCATTTTGAGCTTCAGTGTGTAAGAGTGACTTCTTTGAAGGAAAAATGTTTGTTTTGGAGAGTAACTGTTACTGCTCCCCACCCTCCCCTCACTCCCCCAGAGCACTATGAGTTCTTTTGCCTTGCAATTTCTCTAAACTGTACAGGCAGTAGAAATCAGCAAAGTATGGTATTATGTGTTAAAGAACTATTTATACTTTTTCGGGTCAGTTTTGTAAATTTGGCAAGCAGATAATGAGAGTAATAAATGTAAGTTTTCTGCCTTTAAGGCAGAGTCTTTGCAGACAGGTGCTGAAAAGGTTATTTTTTTGGTTTGTTTTGGAGTGCATTCAGTTTTTTTTATAGTAATTTGGGGTTAAAAATAAGGCTACATCCTGTCTAGGGAAAAAAATTCATTATACGGAGTTGAAAAAGGTTTAGTTAAACTACACTCTTACTTTTTCATGTGTCAACAAACCATTGTGTTTCATTTAGGTTCAGAAACTACAAGCTATCCTGAAACCCATGATGCTCAGACGATTAAAGGAAGATGTAGAAAAAAAGCTGGCTCCTAAGGAAGAAACTATAATTGAAGTAGAACTGACTAATATCCAGAAGAAATATTATCGAGCAATTTTGGAGAAAAACTTTGCTTTCCTGTCCAAAGGAGCAGGGCAAGCAAATGTTCCCAATCTGGTTAACACTATGATGGAACTCAGGAAGTGTTGTAATCACCCTTATCTCATCAAAGGTAAAGACATCATGAAGACTGCTTTTTTTTTAACTACTTTTGTACTTTTTATTTAAAATATGTCAGAATTTTTGTTGTATTTCTTCAGTGTTTTCATCAGACTTTCCAAGGACTGGATATGATGGAAGCATTGTTTGATAAATGCAAGGCTAGGCTGCGAGACAGTTGTGTGTTTGGGACCTAAAATGCAAACTTGTTTTGTAGGATTTTAGAGAACACTGAGAAGTGATTATGTTGTGGAAATGTTACATCTGTTCACAAGCAGCATGAAGAACTTCTAGAGCTAACATAAAATTAATGCTTCTTGCAAGTGATATGACCTGTGTCAGACTTCATTGCTTTTCTTACTTAGTTATAACTAACTTGGATGCTTTTCCTGCTTGCAAGAAAACACACTTTAAGATGTTAAAGTTTTCTGCTGTGATTTCAGTCACACTTGAAGTTGTGTGTTAGTTTTTGCAATTTGGGGGTGGGGGAGGAAGAGGGATGTGTTCACCTCATTCTCGATGCGTTTTCTGTGGTTGTCTGCTTAAAAACTTGAGACTTGTTTTCAGAGAACACAGAAATAGGTATTCTTGCTAGACTTCAGATCCGTTCAGAACTTTGTTCTGTCTCCAGCAGTGGCTAATGGGGCATATTTAGAGTACAAGCACTGATTTTGGTAACTTAGTCTTGTGTGTATAAGGAGACTTTGGTGTAGATACGCTTATAGATACAGAAATACATTATTTGCTAGGTGCTGAAGAGAAAATCCTTGGAGAGTTTAAAGAAACATATAGCCCAAGTGCTCCTGACTTCCATCTGCAAGCAATGATCCAGTCTGCTGGTAAATTGGTTCTTATTGATAAACTTCTTCCAAAAATGAAAGCAGGAGGCCACAAGGTCCTTATCTTCTCTCAAATGGTACGCTGCCTTGATATTTTGGAGGATTACCTTATACACAAAAGGTAAGGTGCTGCGTGTTTGGTCTCCTGCAGTATGATCTCAGTGGGCATATCTTTGAACATTAGTGCAGGATTAATGATTTCAGTGTACAGAAGATAGTAATTCATTACTTCGGGGATTATTAGGTAATCACTGTGTAACTTGTTGTGTTCTGTGATGGCTTATTTACTCACCAATAAATGAAAAACTTGACAGAAGAACTAAAAAGGATGTTGAGTAAACCATGTGCCTTCCATTTGTTTCTTTTCCTATTAAACATTCTTGTATGTATGTACTGTTTATACATTGCCTGTCAGAAACCAAGTAAGTTGGAGCTCAACGTTGCTCATCCACACCCTAGGAAGCATAGAATGTGTTCTTTATTAACTTTGTGTTGAGCTTGGACCAGACAGGGGTAATGCAGCTCCTTACTCCCACCAGAATATAAGTAAAAAATGGTAAACAGTTGGAGTTTTATTTATATTTTTACATTAATAAAAGATATGTTTCTTACCTTTCCTAAATTATTACTGCTTTGAATTTTGCAGCAGAACTGAACTGTGAGCCATAAAGCAGCTCCTTAGATCAGCTTTTGCTGTCACGTGTAATAGCACCCTTTGATTGTACTGTTGACTCCTCAGAGGCTAAAGAGCTTGCTTAAGCACATGCCTGAATACTGTGCATAAAGCCTTAGCACGTAAAATCTAACCTGAAACTTGGTTGCAATCAGTAGTTGCTCTGTCAACCTGAAAAACTGACAAGGCATAGTTCTGACAGTTTTTAATAGTCCATTTGTTGGAATGCACATACTGCTTTGAAGTGTTTATTACTACATAGTAATGTAGAGTTGACACGTAGAAATTAAAAATTAGTACAAATGTCAAGCCTTCCCGCAGTGGATATTGGAATGTATATTGAAGATCATTAGTAGATTTTATTAATACCTATTTTTGTGATAATTTTATGTAACTTCTGTGCTTCTATATTTTTTGTTTCATCAAGTTTTTTATTTCAACTGAGAGCTCAACCATTTGTGTTTTATAGACTAATTTTAACTTCACAGTAGTACTTGGAATCCATCATGAAAAATACTTCAGCGGTTTACATCATTACAGAAAGACTAGTGCATCATGTCTACAAGTGGAATCTTCTGATATCCATAGAAGCTGAAACTTGCTCTGTGCTACTGTTACTTTAGGGTGTACGCATGCTTAGACTTCATACTTCACAGAATTCATGACTGTTGGAGATGGCTGCCTGCCAAAATGCCTGTGGTCCTGTGGATTATCTGCTGTGCCATTTTATAGCTGATAAGCAAAAAAAAAAAATGGTTTTGAGGCTTTTTGACTAGTTAGTTAGACATTTAGCATCTTATAATAGCATCTGAAAAACTTGCAAGTGGCAGCATGGGACTTAGTTGCACTACAACAGACCATAAGCTAAGTGCCATGGTAATACGTGTTTCCTGGTATGTATAATCATGTGCTTGCTTTAGTGGGCAAAATGCAGCAGAACTTGTCTTAAAACGCTCAGAGTTTGGACTTGATGTGTATTAGCACTACAGAGACAGGAGTCCTGTCTGATTTCTGGCTATGTTATCCACTGATAATCAAAGTTGGTTTTTATCACTTTCATTCACTATAAAGAATAAATATGCAAGCATCTGTTTTAGTTTCTCTTGAAATTATGAAAAGTTTTGTAATGATTTGTGTGTCTGTGGCAATTTCCAGATACTTATACGAGCGAATAGATGGGCGAGTCCGAGGGAATCTCAGACAAGCTGCGATTGATCGGTTAAGCAAACCAGATTCCGACCGCTTTGTCTTCCTTCTGTGCACCAGAGCTGGTGGTTTGGGCATTAATTTGACTGCAGCAGATACGTGCATAATTTTTGATTCTGACTGGAATCCTCAGAATGATCTGCAGGTAAGTTCCTTTGAGCATAATAGTGAGGCTTGGAAAGTCAAACTTGGTTGATAGAGATTTGGTCACGTTGAATGTTGTCTCTGTTCTGAACATGCATCGTTTTTAAATGTTCGGGGTGTTTGGAGGCATCTGTTTCATATTTTTTGTTGAGTACTTTCTGCTTGGATAGGAGATATCGTTTGGATTGGGCTGGGTTCTAACTTTTCAAATGAATCACTCTTTTAAAGCACAACACAAGTAAACTAAGTCAGTGAGTTGGTAAAAGCCTCGAAGACTTTGACACTCTGAAACCAGGGGTTAGATGTTGCATATACTGACACAGTCAGTGGAAGTAGAGCTGTTCAGCTAAAGCATAACTTTAGTGTTACTGCGAGAGATTGACCATTCCGTAGCCTTCAGCACCGATCGTTCATCTGCATGTTACTTACTAAATAATGATTTTGGGAAACAGTTCACCATGTGGAAAATACCTGATACCTTCCACTTACTTAAATGTGAATTTACTTCCTTTTGAGTTCACGCTCGTGACGTTCAGTTTGCGCTACAGCGAAACAATTTCTTAAGACTCATGTCTTATTCCTAGATAAGTCTAAATTTTTTACTGCTGTTCTTCCTTCCTTCAAAAGGCTCAAGCCCGGTGTCACAGGATTGGTCAGAACAAAGCAGTGAAGGTCTACAGACTGATAACACGCAACTCCTACGAGAGGGAGATGTTTGACAGAGCGAGTCTGAAGCTGGGTCTGGATAAAGCTGTTTTACAGAGTATGAGTGGAAGAGAAAACAGTGTCGGTGGTGTATGTAGATTCATTTCTTGAGATAACTTTCTTTTGATTCTGTAATCTTGTTGCAACTATTGTACATTACATAAGCTACCACTTCTGCCATTTGCGTTATGTTTTCTGATGTGGACTAACATATAGTTGACATAATTTTGAAATGTAGTCAGTTACTCTGAATCTTGACTATTATTGCCCCTTAAGGTCCAAGGTAGATAATGTCAAAGTTAAAACAAGGAGAAAAGTTTCTCTTTATTTCCTTATATCTTTTCATATTAATATAATGTTACTACATGTAAATCTCACATTAAAATATTAACAGGTCATGTCTTTAAATGTATGTTCATCTTGATGTTGAGAATAACCAAAACTAAAAAGACGCATACTTCTAAAAGTGTGTACTGAAACAACATAACAAATTATTTCAGCTGTCAAATAGACTTTTCTCTTAGATTTTAATAATCTAGAGTTTATGAATTAGAAGGCACAGTTAGGTTGCAAAAACACTGGAAAAGAAAGAGAAATAGAAGAGACTTTGGGGGTGTGTTTTCTTGACTGTCTAAACCCCATTTTATTTGCTCAGATCCAACAACTGTCCAAAAAAGAAATAGAAGACCTGCTTCGAAGGGGTGCATATGGTGCCATTATGGATGAAGAAGACGAAGGCTCTAAATTCTGTGAGGAAGACATTGACCAAATTTTGCAGCGTCGTACTAAAACTATCACGATTGAATCGGAAGGAAGGGGCTCCACGTTTGCCAAGGTGCAGAAGCAGCAAGTTGTTGTTGACAGCATAGAGCTATAAATAGAATTGAATGTTGTAATCTTACACTTCGAGTTTTCTTTACTTACTGTATGCGTATATTAGGTACATTTTTGGGTTCTTACCTCTGTGTGTTAATATAAGCATAAACATGCACGTAGCCAAATCAGATTTGCGTGTACAGATTGAGGAATGCCAGATGCAAAGATGAGTAATAAGTGTGTGCTGCTATTGAAAAGGCTGGGATTTGTGTGAGATGTAATGGACTGCATTAACCAAGAATATGAGAACAGGTTTTATTTTAGATGCATTTGTGTTCAGATATATTAAGAATGAGGGACAATGTATTTAAGACAATAATAAGATTAAAAATTGTGAAGCTTATTCTAAAAATGCCTACACATAGGATCTAGTTTAAACCTTGAACTTTTTCAGTAAAAGTTTGAAAATCAAAAGAAGAAAACCCCTAAAATAGCAGAGGGTGGAGAGTGCATATATGTACGTGGGGCTGGGGCTCAGAATGCAAGGTCTCTATATATTAAAATAAATTGGACTGACACTTCCTAATTTTTGGTGCATAAGAAAAAAAAGATAATAGCATAGCATCCAAAAACCTATGTTGGAGAATTGTAAATTTGGACCCCGTAGTCTCCAAAGCATGTACAAGTATGGATCTGAACAAATACAATTTCAGGTAAATGAAAAAATACATAATATTTTTAAAAAATCAAGCAGTATAACTGAGCTTGGAACATGGGCACTTGAAGAATGCAGTTGTGACAGTTGAAAAAATAAAAAAAAGGCAAAGCAAAAGGAAAACTTAAAGAATATACATGTATTTATTATTTATAAATACACATTTATTTAGGTTTTTTGTCTTGCTGATTGTGGCTTAAATAAGAAATAGACTTCTAAAGAAGAGATATGAAACCAATTAGGGAGCATCATCATCACTGTCTTTTTATCAGAAGAGGTAGAAATTTTTATATGTATTTACTCTTTTCCCAAAAGCAGTGTATTGGGAAAACCTTCTGAAATTAAGCTTATTCCATGCTCTCAAGCTTTGATTGTTGGTAGTTTAAATATTCCTTTGAAATTTCCCTCAAGCGAGTACTTCTGCATGAGATGTAATCCCCAAATGCTGATAAGCCTTTTCAAAAGATTCTGTTTTCTTCCATTGAAATAATTTAGATTGAGGCTTAGAAGCAGAAGAATCTTGCTGCTTAATGTTCTTCTCTCCTGATGGTGCATAAAAGTTCATTAGATTTTTCTGAAATATTATGGGTCTGATTTAAAAAATTTAAGGGGGAGGAGAGCTTTTGAGTTGCTTTGCATTGTCAGTAACTTTTGAAGTCTTAACAGTTGTTGGGGATTTTTTTGATGAGATAAGGTTTACGCGGTCTTCACAGCACTGAGGCATTCAGACTCTACACTTTTTTATGTATGATGTTGGTAAGATTTGGTGTTATTTATTACAGGCTAGTTTTGTTGCATCTGGAAACAGGACTGATATTTCACTAGACGATCCCAACTTCTGGCAGAAATGGGCCAAAAAAGCAGAAATTGATATAGAAGCTATCAGTGGTAGAGTAAGTACTTCTGTTTTATTTAATGCATGTTTTTTCAATTATGTGCTTGCTGTTGAATTCTGAAGCAGATGTAGGATTTTTGTTGAAATACTAATCAAAAAAATCACCAGATCAGACTTTTTGTGCTGGTTAGTTTGTGCACAGGTAATCAGCCTGCTGACAGCTTTAGTATTTCCTAGCTCCCTGCTGTCCCAGCAGAGTTTGGGGCTCTTTCATTTTTGTCAAAGACTTGGAAATGGTACAGGTGTGTAACTGTTCAGATTTCCCTGTTTGTCTGTAAATCCTGGGCTGGAATCTGCAAAATAGCTGACGAAGTATTATAAAATTGATATAATACTGGAAATTGTCCCATACTTGAAGACATTGCCGTGCTGTGAGTTCTAAACAGGTTTCAGTGCCCCTTTTTGCTCAGAGACTGCAGTGTACTCTGCAACACGTTCAGCTTGGGTGAGAGAGTGTTGGTTGTAACTACTGTTCTGACATCATGGGATGAAACTCTTGGTTGCCTTAAGTACCACAGAATATGTTACTTTCTTAACGGGTGTTTATTGTGATATTGTTACACAATACTTGTTAATGACATTAGGTGGAAATCATTATTTTTGAACTGAAGCCGTCTACTTAAGATCCTTATCAACTTGTTTCTCTGATAAGGCTTGTTTTGAAATTTTGCAGAACAGCCTGGTTATTGATACCCCAAGAATACGGAAGCAAACGCGGCCCTTTAGTGCTACAAAAGATGAGCTGGCTGAGTTGTCTGAAGTGGAGAGTGAGGGTGATGATAAACCAAAACTCCGCAGGCCTTGCGACCGTTCCAATGGATACGGAAGAACAGAGTGCTTTCGGGTGGAAAAAAACTTGCTGGTCTATGGGTATTGTATACATCCTTCTTCATCTTTAGGAAGTTTTGTAATTAAATACTATTTTTCCATGTATGAAATTGTATTTTCAGATTGCCTTTTAGCTATATTGTCCATAACCTGGTGTGTATATATATAGAATTTACTTAGAGTATGAACTTGTGAATTTATCATGCACCCTGTATACATCTTCCTGACAATTTTCAGTTGAAGAAACATTAAAAACCAGAGGTGAAAACCTTTCTTTAAAAGAGATTGACTTTTAACATGGCACTACATTATTCTGTAAAAATCATAACAATAACTGCTGCAGGCAGGCTCAAAACTGTAAATAACAAAATCAGAGCGTGGTAGGTGACTTTGTGTTCATAATGGGAGAGCATCTTGCATTTCCATGAGGTGCAGATAGGAACTGACAATGTCACCAGTTATGTTAAGCATACTTAAGTCAGCCACGTTAATTTGGAAGTAAAATCGTGGGTCTTCTCTCACTTAGCTTAGGGGATAAATGGCTGTGTTTGGTCGTCGGTGTGAGTTCCCATCACTTTTGTGTCTTAGAAGCCTGAAGCAGTCATCCGTGGTTTTGTGAACAGGCACGTTTTGTTTAAAAATCTATTTTAAATGGGTGGTGTTCTGTTGCAAATGTTGCTTTTGTATATCCACTCAGTAACTCAAGCTGAAGGAAAATAGCGGGAAGCCAGTAATGTAGAGAAATTCCCTTGCGTAGCAGTCATCTGCAGACTGCCCAAGTGGTGTACATCTCTGTGCTGATTTGTGTTTCGCTTTGGACTAGGTGGGGTCGATGGAGAGAAATTCTGTCACATGGTCGCTTCAAGAGACAGCTGAATGAACAGGATGTGGAGATAATTTGCCGAGCTCTGTTAGCCTACTGCCTTGTTCACTACAGAGGGGATGAGAAAATAAAAAGCTTTATATGGGATCTCATTACCCCAACAGAGGATGGGCAAACACGGGAGTTACAGAATCACCTTGGTAAGGACATACATGTTTCTGCAGTTAAATAGCTTCCTGTAGGTATGGTTATGGTACTGGAATTTATTTATCCCAGGTGTGCAATACAGTTGATGGGAAGAGTGTCCATTTCTGCTTTGCGTTGTATTTGATGGCTTATCCAAATGGATGGTGTGCTCTAAGCTTTCTTTCCATTTCGGTTCCTAAGAACCTATTCTGTTGTATAGTAGGTGACGACACACTCTTCTCTCTCTCCTGCTTTGTCCTTAGCTGGAGAAATGTACTCCAGAGATGCTATAAGAGGCAAAAAAGGGAGAAAAATCTCTCATGTGGCTGTGATGCCAGTATTTTTTTCTGCACTGCAGGTCACAATACTGGTATAGGATTTAGGACCTTTAGTAGCATGGGAATCTATGCCTCCCTATTGCTGTTAACGTATTATATTTTAAATTATATAGGCTTATCAGCCCCTGTGCCTAGAGGAAGAAAAGGAAAAAAAGTGAAGACCCAGGCTAGCACTTTTGATATACACAAAGCAGAATGGCTTCGGAAATACAATCCAGAACACCTGTTGCAAGATGAAGGATACAAAAAGCACATAAAACACCATTGCAACAAGTAAGCAGTACCTGAAGTGTTAATATCTTTTAGTGTTTACATAAAGATTATTTTTTTTTCTTCTAATTCCTCACTGTCTTGGATAACTTGAAAATACTTGTGGTGCTGTGACAAGTTTTAATGGTGTTAGCCTGATTACAACAAACAGGTTGCAGTGTATTAGGAGGAGAGATGAGTATTTCGCATTTAAAATAAATCTCTTGGTATTTTAAAAGAACAATGTTTCTATAGAGAAGGAGAGAGAGATCTTCCTAGTATGTTTGGGGAGCCTTGTAGCAGGGAAAGGGCTAAAGAGTTTGGAAGTGCTTAGCAGACATTGAAAGCACTGAAGTTGTAGCACTTCAATCTTACATGCCTGGATGTTCTAGGCTTCTGCAAATCTATGCTACTAGCTTGTTGAAAGCTCATAGCCATGAATGAGCTTGTGTTAGATAAATCATTTTTCTGTAGCAAAACTTGTTGTAGTCTGCTTGAGGACTTCATACAGCTGTAGTCAAGAATTGAGGTAACGCCTGGAGAAGCCATTGGGGCGGTCATGCACTGCATTCTGAGTGAGAAGGAGTAAAAAGATGATGTGAAAGATCGTCATTGTCAGCCCGCTGAGTTATTTCTGAGTGAGTCGTCTGAGTAGCAAAAGGGAAGCAGCAGTTTATTCTTAGCAGTGTTTTATGAAGCAAGTAAGGAGTGTCCTGCTGGTCCTGGTCTTTGTCTAGGATATGAAAAAATGTTTGCAATGAAACTATTTATAACAGTGATGACAAAAAGCATTAGGCGACCAGAATTGGAGGTTATCTCCTCATGTAACTAAAGGAAGTATGTTTTAGGAAAATGGCTTAAAAGATTTGTTACATTACAGAAGACAAAACAAAACAAAAACTTCCACAATTATTGAAAGCTTTGAGTGCTAATATTTGTATTTCTTTTTTTCATTTTTTAGGGTCTTGCTTCGAGTAAGAATGCTGTATTACTTAAAACAAGAAGTCATTGGTAATGAATTCCAAAAGGTGTTTGATGGAACTGATGCCAGGTGAACTATAGAGAGGTTTTTTGCTTGTTTATTTTAAATGTGAACTATGAAATGAAAATCCAGAAATCTTCCTAGACCTAAGTAAGAAATGCTAAAACCAAGTACTTGTATCCTTAGGCTGTGAGAAAGATGTGTTTGTTTACTCTGTTTACTACACACTTAGTATGGACTTGACATGAGGAAGTCCTGATTCCTGTGCATGAGTCTAGCTATATAAGGTCAAATTATTTAAGTCAAACTGAAAAAGTGAGTGAAAGATAGACTTCTATACTTCACATTCTAATTGGTGGGTTTTTTCTGACTCTTTATGCACGCATTTGGTTATATGCTGCATATTCCATAATTTATTTACTTTTTTAAATTTGGAAATTCTTGAACTTCCACAAGAGCTTATGGTGGATAGAAAGTTCTCATTTCATGCAGAAAGCTGTTATAAAAACATTGTGGAAGAACAAGTCCATCTCGTGCTATTAAACACAAGAGCAGATAATCCTTGATTTGCAAAGTTTTGCAGGCACAAACTGCTAGGAGTTGGCAGTATAGTGAGAGAGGAACAATACTGTATGCTGGTTCTGCTTTCATATTCCTTCCCTGTTCCTGGCCTCGTCGAATACAAAATACCAAACTGTCTGGGTGTTTTGTATTGCTGGTTTTAGGGACTTACTGAATGCACAGGTGAAAAATTGTATGCCTCCATTTCTTTAGGTTGTCAAAATTATTCTTAATGATAAATGAATGTTGTATTTTGTGGCTTATGTGAGTCAGTAGCCTAGCCATGCATTTTTTTACTGTTACTTGCTATTAAATAACAAAGTGCATTAAAAAAATTAAACATTTCAATCCTATGACTCTTTACAACCTTCAGAGTAATCTTTGAATTAGTTTGCTGGACGCAGATTTTTGTATATGTGTGCTTGAAGAGAGAAGTTTAAAAATCCCACATAAAGTACAATGTACAAAGAGAAAAAGATTTCTTTCTTCCTCTGAATATTATTGATGTTTGTTTGCGGTTTGTGCTTCTCCTTAGTGAAATTGATGTTTGGGTCCCTGAGTTCCTGCTGAGTGGTGGGATGCAGATGCAGATAAATCCCTACTAATTGGAGTTTTTAAACATGGTGAGTACTGTGGATGACTACGTATGTACATCCCCACCTCTCCATATAAGCACCCTTCACATTTGTTTTTGTATCTTACTGTGATACTTGAATTTGTGACACTTTTATTTTTTCATAGGTTATGAAAAATACAACACTATCAGAGCAGACCCTGCGCTGTGCTTCTTGGAGAGAGTTGGCAAGCCAGATGATAAAGCAGTTGCTGCTGAACAGAGAGCAAATGATTATATTGATGGGTATGTGCACATAAAAGTGGTCATTAATGTTTTGGGGGCCTTACAGTAAACGAGACTTAATTTGTGTGTTGTACTTAGTTCTCTTCTTAAGTGGTTTTATCCTAGGTGGTAGTGGTTGTTGTGAAGAATGCTGCTTTGATTTCACTCACAGAGTGGAAAAGAGTTAGGAACAGTGTAACAGAAGCACTGAAGTTTGGGATTTCACAGTTAAAGGAAAAACGGAGCAACTTGTTAACAAGGACCTTGTGTTGCTCTATCAGAAATATTACTTAGACATTTAGTACAGAAGCCTTCAGAGGTGGGATACTACAGACCATTTAACTTGAATTAAGGTCAGTTGGTGTGTTAGTCTTAAGTAGCTAACCAGTGATGCCAGTAGATTGCTTTGAGCATCATGCAGACCGGCACTTTTGCATTCCTTCATCAGTGAGGTTAGCAGCTGTGCTCACAAGGAACGTCTTTGAATGAGGTAGTGAATTGGCAGGGACAGGATTTAAGCCAAAGCTGCCATTAAATGTTTTTCCTTGTTTCAACTACAAACAGATCTAACTAAATTTGAGTTTTGCTTAATAGAAAAGAATGTAAGGACTTTAAAATAGTACTAAAGTGGGTTCTTTTGTGTTGAAATTTTAACAGGGATGTAGAAGATCCAGAATATAAACCAGCACCAGCAATGTTTAAAGATGACATAGAGGTACAGTAGGCACCTATCAACAGCTCCTTTTAACACACTTAGAACGTAATACTTGTGCTTTTACATTGAGGAAATGATTACATTTTTCTGTATTCCTCAAAGTTGATAGCACTTACTTCTGTGTGCTTCTGCAGATGTGTGGGCAGAGGGAGGGGAGGATGGGAAGGAATTGTTGTATAATTCTGTTAGATGCCTTGTTAACTGTTTGTCCAGAATATGTTACTCTTGTTCCTTCCTTGTCACACCCTGCAGATGATTTATGAATACAGGCTTAACAAAATCTCTCAAGAGATTTTAAAAGTTGCTTCACTTTTGTTTCTGTACAGGATGATGTTTCGTCCCCAGGTGATCTAGTAATAGCAGATGGAGGTAAATACATAAAACTTGAAATCTGAGCCAATTAATAGGTTTTGAATTATTTAATTCTCCTGACTCTTAGCTAAAATGGATTTAGATTGTCTAGTGTAGAACTGTAGGCACCAGCAGTGATTCTTGTTTACTGTGACTTTATTTTAATACAGATGGGCAAATGATGGAAGGAGACAAAATCTATTGGCCCACTCAGTCTGCCTTAACAACACGTCTTCGCCGCCTAATAACAGCTTATCAACGGACAAGTAAAAATAGGCAGGCCCAGCAGATCCAGCCGGCATTCCCGATACAAACTAGTATGATGCAGCCTCCGTACGAAGAAGCTGCTCTGAATCCAAAGATGGCTGCTAAGATTGAAAGACAGCAAAGGTATGTGTGGCATGCAAATACACATTTTTAATACATCCTTATGTAACAAATATTGGAGAAGTAATAATTGCTAGCTGCATGAAATAGTGAAGAAAATGACAGAATTTCCATTTTTTTCCTTGCTGATCAAGATGGACGAGAAGAGAAGAAGCTGACTTCTACAGAGTTGTGTCCACATTTGGAGTGGTGTTTGATCCTGAAAGGGGACGGTTCGACTGGACCAAATTTAGAGCAATGGCTAGATTGCATAAGAAAACTGATGAGAGCTTAGAGAAGTACTTGTATGCGTTTATGTCGATGTGCCGCAGAGTCTGTCGTCTCCCCTCAAAGGAAGGTGGGTGTATATACTTCTAATTTTAGTTTTATCTTTACTTTCTGTTGCCAATGTTTGAAAAGGTTGTGGTTTTTTTCCCCCTATGTGTTCCAAAATAAAGATGGGGGAGAAGGAAATAAGGAAACATGTTACATGTAAAATTGAAAGGTTATAATGGGGAGACATTAACTGATTAAAGCCATCTATTTCTTGTATTGATTTACAGCAGGTTGGTTTTTTCCAGATTCTCATCTTTGTTTTGTTTTAATACAGAACTTGTGGACCCAAACATTTTTATCCAACCAATTACAGAGGAGCGTGCTTCTCGGACTTTGTATCGCATTGAACTCCTAAGGAAAGTGCGGGAACAGGCTCTTAGGCACCCACAGTTGTTCGAACGACTAAAATTGTGCCAGCCAAACCCAGACTTACCTGTCTGGTGGGAGTGTGGAACTCATGACAGGGATTTACTTATTGGAGCCGCTAAACATGGCGTAAGCAGGACAGATTATCATATTCTTCGTGATCCTGAACTCTCATTTATGTCTGCCCAGAGGAACTATAATCAGAATAAAGTGGCACTTTCAAGGACTTCTACTCCACTCTTGCATCAGTACCAGATGGCATTATCTGCTTCTCCTCTTACACCTCAGTCAAGATTGTCAGATGCTAAAGTGAATGCTTTTGAGGATGCAAAAGCTAAAAATGAAAATCTGAAAGAGGACCCTCCGTCTTCTGAAGAGGAATCTATGTCTACAGAGGAGACACAGACAATGATGAAATCTGAACCTTTGAGTCCAAAAAATGGCACACCGATACAAAATACAGACCACAAACCTAGTGTGAAGACTGAAACAGACAGGCGCATGGTGGCAGCAAGGACAGAGCCTTTAACTCCAAATCCAGCTTCCAAAAAACAGAGAGTCAGCAAAAGGGGATCAGACTCTAGTTCTGACTCGGACTCTGACTCAGATCGATCATCCTGTTCTTCCAGGTCATCATCTTCATCCTCTTCATCTTCCTCATCTTGTTCACACTCTCGGTCAGGCTCTAGCTCTTCATCGTCTTCATCTTGTTCTTCAGCATCTTCATCCTCCTCCTCATCATCCTCATCGTCGTCGTCGTCATCATCATCGTCTGAAGAGAGTGATAGTGATGAAGAGGAGGCACAAAAACGTGGTATGTGTGTAGTCTTATTTCTGCAGTATAACTCTTAAACTGAACAAGTTTATTCTTAATGGAAGAATGTCTAAAAAAGGATATTAAAACCCACAGAAGTAAACTTAAATAAACGTATTTGCTTGATTCTTCAAGTGAGTTGAAAGAATTTCGGGGATACAGCATTTTCTTTGCTTCATATCAGTGCCTTGGATGAGGTACTTAGGATTTGTTGAGTGATTCCCTAAGCAAGCTTACTGTGCACGCGGTTCACGTGTGGGAGGAGAGTTGAATGGCTAGTGTTTTCTGGAAATAGACTGTGTATGTGTATTCCCTACTACTGTTTCTTTTTCTTTCTAAATACAGAGATTGTTTTGCTTTCCCTGTTTGTTTTTTCCACTCTTGCTCACCTGTCTTTGCAGCTTCCTCATTGTGTTTTCATGAAAGCCCCAGGCTTCCTTCTGCCTGAGATAAGAGTAATGTAAGCTGCTTTTCCTTGTAAACTGGAGGTGACCAAGCAGTGTACTTCCACTTAAAAATGTACCTGCTTAGAAAAGACTGGGGCAATCACAGAGCATGGGATCAAATAACACAGACACGCTTTTGAAGGTGTCAAAGAAGCAAAAACCTCTAATCAGAGACGTGATTTAAAATTTGCAATAAGCCAACCAATCATTATTTAATACATTCCTTATTTGGTACTATCAAGTGTCCTCTACTCTTGCCCCATGGGAACTCAGCATGTGAAAAGCTTTCCCTGCTGTGTGATGACAAATGGTAATAGAAGAAGGAAGAGGGTGAAGTTAGGCATAAGTAAATCAGCTATATTTTTTTTTCCCCAGTACTGCAGGGGAAAAAGGCGTTGTGTTTATCAGATGGGTCCTCTTGTCTCTGGAAGTGACAAATGGAAACCATAGGGTTAATTTACTGGGAAGATTATTACTGGGCAAGTAAAATGGCGCTTGAACAAAATGATTAAGGTGCTGCTGCCTGTAGCAGTGGAAGGACATTTTCAGAGGAAACAGTTGTATGCAAACACTAAAACAGTGAGAGACAAGGAGTGTTTAAGGACAGATACTTATATCTGAATAGTGGATGCTATAGCGTGCCACAAGTCCATGCATGAGGCTTGCCTTCTGCCAGCTCAGTCTGCTTAAGCAGGTAATTGTGCCATCCTCAGGTTACAAAATCTTGTCAATCAGCCAGCCTTTCTTTTTGTGGCTATTTTACTGTAAGTTGGTGTTGAGGAGATTGGTAAATGCTGGAAAATTGTTACCTTCATCTGCATTCTAATTTTCAGCCCATTTTGTATGCTGTCTGTAGGTCAGGGACCTTCAGCATACTTTTCACATTTAAAACATCTTTTCAAGGGAGAGCTAAATTGTATCAGATGACTCAATACATAGATGTTGCTAAGGTCAAATTTGAGTTCTGTAGAATTGTCCCTCAATTCTCTACTGGTTGTGATGATGTAGTATTTACCTTTTCAGGCAGCACCCCTTTTTTGGTTGGTTGGTTTGTTTGG